GATGCAATCAATGGTAAAAACAGCCAGACAGTAAAATTGCTGTGTGAAATCGAACTATTTAGGTGCCCTCACAGATAGATTGCATGTAAGTTCCCTAAATTGGCTGGAAGCAGATTACAACTATTTCTAAATGTTGCCTTAAATGTGATACCAAGCATATAAAATGAGTCAAATTGTCGTAAGGAGTTACTGTTCAATTAAAGGAACACTCCCACCCCGATTTTAGCTTGTGAAATTATGTAGGCAGGAGTGTTAAGCACCTTCTGATCGTTTAATGGTCGTTCTGGCAAAGAGGATGAAAGCCAGGGGAAGCAGGCGTAGCAGGACCAATTTCAAGGGTAAATTGTTTGAAAAACTGTAAGGTGGTGGCCAGAAACGTATGATGCCATGACAATGTCAATGAGCTGAAGTTGTTTTGGTGGTGAGAGTGTTCTTAAGCTCTCTATTTTTTTTGTGTACTGTGCAGACATCCATAAAATATACATCATGCTCATTGACTCCATAAGTATTAATTTAACCTTCTTCATGTGCATAATGCAGGATGATGACTTAGAAACTGATCTGAATAAACTGAGGACAAAGCCAAATCTAGATCGACCTGATGTGGACTTAGAGCAGTATAAAGCATTTTGCCCAGAGATCGTTCATGGCTTACAGGTATGATGTACTGTCACATATGAATATATATATATATATATATATATATATATATACTGCATTTGAACTGTGAACTTCACTTTCAGAATGTACATTCAACAGTGCATGCAAACACACAGAATGTGATTTTCTCCTCCTTTTGAGTCAATGATTTCATGTGTTTTTTTATCATAGTTCACATGTTTGGCAAGCTTACATATAAAGGGCAGAAAATGCCTGATTCTGTACTGCTCAATTGGTGTGTCTCTTACATTCCAAAATCAATGTCTGTTTTCAATGTGATTAAATGTTCCTTATCTCTCTTCATTGGTCTTTTTTATGGGGTTATTCACTAAACCGTCTTTTGAAACAAAAACATACATTTGTGCATACCCAATGGTTTCTTAATAACAGCTGGTCTATTATTGGTGTTCAGAGGAAAATACAATGTTTCGGCACTATCCTGTGCCTTTGTCAGATTTCTAATTTCCTCTGAACTCCACAAAAAAGATTGCCTATTATTAAGAAACCATTGGGTTTTCCCAGACGGATGTTTTTGTTCCAGTTGGATTGCCTTTTACTTTCTTAAACAGTTTATTTTGTCAAAATGAACAAAATCAGATGAAATCAGATGACTAAATGCCGACCACAATGGCAATTCTCGTATTTACTAAAGCCAAATACTTTTGGAATTCAGTTGGCACAAGCAAATTTGCAGCAATTGCCCTGATTTATTCAGTGTTTGGATTAAAATCAGTGCTTTTGCATTCAAAATTCAATATGAAGTATAGAATTCGAAAGATTCACAAAGCACCACTTTTAAACTGAATGCATAGAGCAGGATGCATGTTTGCAAATGATTTTTAAATTGTTTTTATTTAAGCGAACAATAACTTTAATAACAATTTGCCCATTGGCAACACTATCAGCCAGCGGACAAATAGTTAAAAACCATTGGCAATGTGAGGGTTAATTACGGGGAGGCTGGTTAGCTCTTGCTAGCCAGCTTCCTCATTAACGGTACATGATAGGCACCCAGACCACTTCAGCTCATTAAAGTAGTCTGAGTGCAGTGTCCCTGTCCCCCTTAGTCCTGCAAAGTAAATCATTGCAGTCTTAGAGAAACAGCAATGATTACCTTGCAGGACTAAGACCGCCTCTTTTGGCTGTCAATCAGACAGCCACTAGAAGCAATTCCTAGTGGTTAAGCGACTTTTGGTTGCAGAACTGACGCTGGATGTCCTCACACACTGCATTAGAACATCCAGTGTCAGTAAAATCACCATAGGAAAGCAATGAAGAAATGCTTTCCTAAGGGGAGGATCTCATGCGCTTGCAGTGCCCATCCAGCACGCACATAAGCTCTTTCCCGCAGGATGACATCAGAGGAGGCAGAGCGTTGAAATAGCACGTGGGAATTGGGTAGGTTTTTTAATGCTTTCCATGCCGGGCCGGTGGCTGCATGGAAACACTATAGAATCCCTTTAAACAGTTAAAAATAAATAAATAACTAAAAAGTCAATATTACTTGTGCCAACTGAATTCCGAAAGTATTTGGCTTTAGTAAATACGAGGATTGCCATTGTTGTCGGCATTTAGTCATTTTCATCTGATTTTGTTCATTTTGACAAAATAAACTGTTTAAGAGAGTAAAAGGCAATCCAACTGGAACAAAAACATACGTCTGGGAAAACCCAATGGTTTCTTAATAATAGGCAATCTTTTTTGTGGAGTTCAGAGGAAATTAGAAATCTGACAAAGGCACAGGATAGTGCCGAAACATTGTATTTTCCTCTGAACACCAATAAAACCTCCCTATGCCCTGATCTGCCATTTAGTAAGTGAGAATATGTCTACTAAATGGCTAAAACTAGTCACTAGAAAAGCCCCATCCTGATGTGAAACAATGGATGAGGGACATAGTCACCTCCATACCCAGTGGCGTACACACAATCCATGGGGCCCTGGTGCGAAACTGATCCATGGGCACCCCCAATCTCCCGATCCATGCCCCCCCTATCCCTCCTGACACATACATACAGACACACACACACACACACAGACAGACACACACATACATACACCACTCGACAGACACATACATACAGACAGACACACACATATATACACACAGACAGACACATACAGAGACACAGACACATACATATACACACACACATACATATGGGGCCCCATGGATTGTGTGTATGCCAATGCATACATAGACACACACACACACATACAGAGACACACACACGTACATACAGAGACACACACAAATACATACAGAGAGACACACAAATACATACAGACACACATACAGAGACACAGACACACACACACATACAGAGAGACACAGACACACATACAGAGAGACACAGACACACACACATACACATACAGAGACACACACACACATACAGAGACACAGACACACACACATATAGAAAATGTTTCCTACCTTGTGATTTTCCCTGGGGTCCAGTGGGGGCTCAGCCTGACGGGAGTCAGAGTTCAAACTCTGACTCCCTCCTCATCCTTCCTCCCGCGCGGGCTCGGTCCCCTGACAATCCATATTCATCAGGTGGCCCTGAAAGCATGGGCCACCCGATGGACCCCTACATATGCGGCCCCAGCGGTTTGCCGCATGGGCCGGGGCTGCACAACTTGGCAGCTGGTACCCGGCCGCAGGGGTGTGCCATGCGCCCAGCAGGGCCAGATTAAGAGCCCAGTGGACCTGGTGCTGACAATTATGATGGGCCTAATTATCGACCAAAAACACTGTATCTGGTGGAGATGGTGCTGGAGGGAAAACTCACAGGAGATAGCTATAAGAAACACACACCCTATGCTAATCCCATGCTTTCATCTTTCAAGTAAATTCATACCCCCTAACAGCAGTGTCCAGTAAAGCAGGAAGTCTATGGATGGGGTAAAAGGGTGGGCCACTGACGCAAATCACATAACCAGAAAAGGGGCATGTCTGTGTCCCCATGTCTCCCAGTCCCTTAGTGTCTGTGTCCCCACTAAACTAGGGGACATTGAGAGACATTGAGAGACCTGGGGACACAGACACTAGGGGAAACTGTGAGAGACGGGACATTGAGAGACTTGGGGACACAGTGTGACATTGGGACACTGGGTGACTTTGAGACACGAGGGGACACTGGGAGAATGGGGCACTGAGACACTGTTATACAGAGGGGACACTGTGATACATAGGAGAAACTGGAGAATTGACTGGGTACAGGTCAAAACGTTGAGGTGTCCAATAAACCTGCTTAAATCTATGACAGTGAGTGCCTGAGCTTTTTTATTTTATACTAGGGGACACTGACACACTGGGAGACATGGGGGCAATGGGAGACATTGGGACACAGACAGTGGGAGACTAAGGGACTTTGGGAGACTAGGAAACACAGAGACACTAGAGACACTGGCACACTACGGACACTGAGAGACACCAGGGACACTGGGAGACATGGAGACACTGATATACTAGGGACACTGGCTGGGAGACATGGGGACACTGGGAGTGCCCCATGTCTCCCAGGTCTCAAAGTCGCCCAGTGTCCCCATGTCTCCCTGTGTCCCCCAGTGTTACCAGGTCTCCCAGGGTCCCCTAGTGTCTCAGTGTACCCTAGTGTCTCAGTGTCCCTTAGTGTCTCCTAGTGTCCCCATGTCTCCCTGCAGCCTCCCCCTCATCCCTCATTTACCTGAGCTGTTGGCTGTCTCTGCAGGCTCTGAGCTGCTGTCTGGAGTCTCTGTGCAGAGCTCCTCCCCCTGCGAATCAGTGAGTAGAGAGAGGCAGGGAGGGAGATGCTGTAACTTCTTATCCCTCTCCACTCACACAGCGACCCCTACTGGCCAGTGCTGGTATTGCAGAACAATCTCTGTTTATACTGAGACTGACATTTGTATTGCCGGTATTACTGCAATACCGGCACCAGCAGGGCATCCTCAAATACCTGAGAAATACCTGGCAACCCTGAGAGAAGTGTGTAAAAAAAAAAAAAAAAACTTATTTTTTTTTAAGTCAATGGGCCTGTGCCATGGGCTTGGGCTTGGGCTTGGGCTTGGGCTTGGAGCTGCAGCTCCATCAGCCCCTATGTTAATCCGGCCCTGGCGGCCGGGCCCCCTGGAGTGCCAGGCCCAGTCGCAGCTGCGACCCCTGTGACCGTGGTATGTACGCCACTGTCCATACCCCACCCTTGGGCACCAGGCAGGGGACTTTAAAATAAGCAATGGGGTATAGACAGGTTACTGAATAAAATGAACATGTGGTCCTTATGTCCTGCCCACTCCCACACATGGCTGCTGTGCTATAGGAGAAACTATTAGCCTCATAGAAACATAGAAACATAGAATGTGAAGGCAGATAAGAACCATTCGGCTCATCTAGTCTGCCCAATATTTCAAAATACTTGTAATTAGTCCCTTGCCTTATCTTAAGTCTAGGATAGCAGACTAGATGAGCCGAACGGTTCTTATCTGCCGTCACATTCTATGTTTCTATGTTTCTATAGCCTAATGCCTATCCTATGCATGCTTAAACTCCCTCACTGTGTTAACCTCTACCACTTCAACTGGAAGGCTATTCCATGCATCCACTACCCTCTCAGTAAAGTAATACTTCCTGAAATTATTTTTAAACCTTTGTCCCTCTAATTTAAGACTATGTCCTTTTGTTGTGGTATTTCTCCTTTTAAATATAGTCTCCTCCTTTACTGTGTTGATTCCCTTTATGTATTAAAATGTTTCTGTCATATCCCCCCAGCCTCCTCAGTTCCCACTAATTGGATGTGGTTGGGACCTTTATATTATTATTCAGGGGAAGGATCTAATTAAACCTAATAGTTAAAGTATACAGAGTTTACATTTTTAAGTAATGTGAGTACTAATTAATTCATTCATTCATTAGTAGCATGTCCACCCATTCCTACCCTCCCCCCCCCACCCAGTGGCTAGGGGTCCTGAATCCCATAGCCATCACCATTAAAACTAAATGACTCTACCTACCCCTTTCAGTGAGCGAGCAATACCTTTAAAATAAAAATTATACTTACCGATTTAATGTCTTCTTTTTTCAAACTTGTCTTCTCTTCACCCATAGCCATCTCCTCTTTATCCCTGGTCATGCATCTTTTAGGGGGAGGGTGTGGACATGTCCACTCCCCATTGTTTATTTAATTAGAGCTCCCTTCTGCTGCCCATGAGTGGGGGTTTTGAGGTGGCACACTAGGTCTTCTCCCCTGATTATTATTATTAGTGTCCCAACCGCCACCGATGTTGGTCTGTGGGGCGGGCATTAGGTACTTCCCACTGTTTACTGTTTGTAATATAGATGAGATGGGAAGTAGCAGTCTGCATGGATTGGAGACCCATCAAATGTTTATAAGTAAGGCCAATAAGGATATAGCTATAGTAGTACACACAGGAGATGGTAAGTCTATGAATTCAAGTTTTTCAAATTGAAAGTGGCAGGACCAAGAGAGTGATTGTATATAATATGAGAATCTGTAATAGAAGAATCCAAATAACATTTACAGCGCATGCCTGTTTTGTTGGAATGTAATAATGTCACCAATAGTGAGAGTTTGCATACTTATGAAATAGTTTGGGGGCAATAGTTAAGGTATACAGAGTTTACATTTTAAGTAATTTGTGGATCAAAAAGATCTCTAAAATTATGGAAATTAATTGTTGATAATACTGAATTCTTTGAAATAGTTTAGAGGCACTTTATTAAGAAAGAATACACAGAATCAAGGAATGCTTATTTAGATTGTTGGACTAAATATTATAGGGGCCATGTTTCTTCTGAAACAGTTAAGTAGATCTCTAAGTTTATTAAAGGACCACTATAGGCACCCAGACCACTTCAGCTTAATGAAGTGGTCTGGGTGCCTGGTCCATCTAGGGTCAACCCTTTTTTTTATAAACACAGCAGTTTCAGAGAAACTGCTATGTTTATATTAGGGTTAATCCGGCCTCCAGTGGCTGTCTCTTGACAGCCGCTAGAAGCGCTTGCGTGCTTCTCACTGTGAAAATCACAGTGAGAAGACGCCAGCGTCCATAGGAAAGCATTGTGAATGCTTTCCTATGGACTGGCTGAATGCGCGGGCAGCTCCTGCCGCACATGCGCATTCAGCCGAAGAGGAGGAGAGGAGGAGGAGAGCTCCCCGCCCGGCACTGGAGAAAGAGGTAAGTTTAACCCCTTCCTCCCCCCCAGAGCCCGGCGGGAGGGGGACCCTGAGGGTGGGGGCACCCTCAGGGCACTGTAGTGCCAGGAAAACGAGTATGTTTTCCTGGCACTATAGTGGTCCTTTAAGTTATAAAACCTAACAGTATTTAACCTGAGCAATTTCATTAATGTAACCATCCATTTCTGGTATTAGAAACAGCATATTTACTACACATCTTCCCAACTAACTGCCAGCCATTTACCAAAAAATTGTATCAAAAGCTTCTGTGGGATGTACTGGGACATAAATCTGATCCACAATTATATAAAAGAAACAGGCATATTTCCATTGTAAGAGGACCATATCAGAAGGAAAGAACCTCTATGGTAGTAGATGCCACGGAGCCAGCAGATAGCCAAGAAATAATATAAACAAATTAATAAAAGGATAAAATAAAAGCACATGCAGCTACAAAATTATGTAACAATGCAACACATTTCATCTGTTTCAGACTTCAATCCAGGAAGTTGATTCTGTTTATGTAGGGAACTGAAATTGAAGCCATTGATTGCTCTTCCTGATGTGGTGTGAATTCCACTCTGGAGCGCCATCCATCTTTGGGATTTGTTACTCTGGTCCTTTTTTTGTGTGCTTCCGTGTACATCACTTTCTTCTACGGCGTACGACATACGACATAGACGTCGCTGTTGTCAGACGTATATGTGCTTTCAATCAAATCCAGGAAGTGTCATCACAGAGAAAAGGAGTTTATAAAATAAAATTTTAATAAAAATAAATAAATATAAAAACAAAGATAAAATCTAAAAAAAGATAGACACAGAATCATGGCGGACCGTTGACAAGTTGGTGGAATTCACATGTAAGCCAGTTAAAACTAAAATCCTAGACTCGGCCCAAAAATGCTAGTTCATCAGACCTGTAACTAGAGTTTACAATTAAAAAAATCTGGTATACTGATAAATCTTTGTTATTGCTAATCAGTGTACGTATTATGTATATATGTATGTATATACATATATTTAACCCTGTGTACAAACATGCATACCGACACATAACAGATAGCACGTAATACATGCGGCTCCTTGTATTTTGAAATAAATAATAGAAAAACACAATAGTGTGGATAAATAATTACTATAGAATTAGGATTAGAAATAATCTTTCACACTCACAAATGTAGAGCCAAATGAACACTTGGCTCTAGTGTGTAGTACCTTAGGATCTTAAAGGGAGATCCAATACCCTCTTCTTTTCCTTTCAATAGGAATCAATGAATGGTGCCGTAGGTTGCTTACCCCTGGTTTAGAACATTTCCATTACCACTGTGGATTTTTCTGTTGTAGTATATATGGATATATATGTGGGTATCAATGTTAATTCTGGCGGCAAATTTCAATTAGTCATTGTCTTTTCACTAAAAAAACATTTTAGTTTTAGTCGTAGTTTAGTCATCTGAATTGTTTTAGTCGACTGAATCTCCAGTACATTTCCAGTAGAGTAGTCGACAAGACTAAAATCTAATGGTTTTAGTTAAAGCCTCTATCTGTCTCTTTTGCCCCTTCCCCAACCACTCTGTGTCTCTTTGTATCCTCTCAGCTCCTCTAGGTATCTCTCTCCCAAACCCTGGTCTGTCTCCTTTTTCCCTCCCACTGCAGTCTTAATCTTGGCGGTAAATTGAAATTTAGTTTTAGCCATAGTCTTTTGACTAAAATACCATTTAATTTTAGTTGTGTTTTAGTAATTTGAATTGTTTTAGTTTTAGTCTAGTTTTAGTCGACTAAATCTCAAAAATTTTAGTCGACTACAATTTGACTAAAATTGTAAGTAGACAAAATTAACATTGGTGGGTATGCGTGTTTGTGTACAGGGCTAAATATATTTTTGTTATGATATTTTAGAGAATTCTAAGTGAATTTCAGAAATTATTAGCCAATTTGAAACTATTAAGTTTTCTGTTCAGTTTGGTTATTTTGACTTAACTTTTGAATTTCACTTTGAATTAACTTTCCAGTGATTAACCCTGATTATATTTCATCTGTAGTAATGCTTGAAGGGGAGAGATAAACAAAACAGACCCTGACAATATTTAATGTTTACTTAATAAATACAAGCTTTGTAGAAAAACAAAGTATATTTTTCTTGACAGTATGCTTCTTCTGTTAGACTAATTATTTTCAACTATGCAATTTTTCAGTCTTCTCCTCATTAGTTCTGTGCATGATAGCTTGAGCTGTCCACCAACTAATTCTTCAAGGGTTAAATATGGAAGTAAGGCTGATATATGGCATTGCATCCTTAAGTTAAAGATGTTTTTCTTACTAGATTATTCTTGTGGCATTGAATAATGTGCTTGTTCAAATCATTTATTATAGCGATCTTTGCTTTCCACAATGCTTTCAGTGAAATATTCCTCCCTTCTTACTGAAAACTACTATAAACCTAAATTAAAGAGCAGGAAATTCTACAGTATTCCAATGGCATATAAAATATCACGGCAAAGGTCCATTTCTGCAATCAGATTTTTTTTAATGCTAGATCAAATTGACCAACTAGGATTTTAAACAGTAAATATGTGAAACAGTGATTAATATTGTAGTATTTATCTTTAACTTGCAATTGATGAAATGTAAGATGGATTCTTATGTCGTCTGTTTGTTGATCTATGTTTTTGTTTATTGATTTCCCTGTCTTACTGGTTCATTAATTATACTATACCTATTAACTGATCCATTTTTCTACCCACCTCTTAATCTGAACATATACGATTTTTGAAATTTTTGTTTAAGTCAGCACTTTCTTTCATATATACTTTCTTTAGAAAAGCTGTTGTAATCTAGATTTTTCTCAGAATAGGAATTTAACCAGTCAAAGTGCATACAGTTCTAACACAATAGTTATTAAACTATAACTGTGTCTTTTGTACTTTATGTTAATTTGGAATGTTTGTGGTCTAAACACTGAGTATTTTCTGTTGTACATATTTTTCTAAGTTTGCCTTTTATATGTTTTTGCGTGATCGATTTAGCAAACTTTCTACAATCTCGCTTTCTTGACTTCTTAAAGGACCAGGAAACAGAACACGAGGATGATCTGAATGCTACATGCAATATTTCAAGGCAGCCTATTTCTTATTCATATAACATTTTACCCACTCAGAGAACAAAGGAAGACTATTGTAAAAAAAAGGACCAGTATACAAATGAAAAATCCTCTCCGGAAACGTATTTGGAAAACAAAACAAGAAAAACCTCAGTTGAAGCAAAACATTTGGAAAAGGAATCCTCAAATGACTTAGACCTA